AGTTTTTCGGAGGGTCTTTTATTGTGCCTCTTTCTTTTTTACAATTTTACAATAAAAAGGTTCTTCAGAAAGCCAAAGCAATTTTGAGGCTTTGAGAAGGAATTTTTAGGATTTTAAAAGCTTAGATAAAATGTTGAAAACGCTGAGTTATGGTTTTTCAGCTTAACAGCCTGAAAACTACTGTCTATTAAAAACAAAACTGGCCGTGAGTATTTTTACAATAACTCGATAACGGTAATAGCTAGCGACCTGCGGTTTTCACTAACTGAAAGAGTAGAAGTTGAAACATCTTTTTCTCTGGTAATGTATAAGATGAAATCCTTTTAAAAGTAATCATCTTCGAAAAATAGGCAAAAGAATGCATGAAAATGATTTTTCATCCAGATGAATTTTTGATTTTGCTGTTTGATTTAGGTAGAGGGGCCTGAGATCTATAGTTCAAGATGCAATGCGCTTTTTTACTTTTCATTACATTTTTTGCGAAATTCCATGCTACTATAAGAAAAGTACGAAAATTTCGTAAAAAAAATTAACAAAATTTCCTAGTATTTGCGCATGTAGATACATGATCCCATTTGCTCAACATTAGAATGCAATAGGAGAACCATTTGCGTTGTATCTTTAACTATAGATTTCAGACCGTTCTATCTAAACCAAAGGGCAAAATCAAAATTCCATCTAGATGAAAAATCATTTTCATGCATTCTTTTGCCTATTTTTCGAAGATGATTACTTTTAAAAGGATATCATCTTATACATTAACAGAGAAAAAGATGTCTCAACTTCTACTCTTTCAGTTGATAAAAGCCGCAGATCGCTAGCTGTTGCCGTTATCGAGTTATTGCAAAAATACTTACGACCAGTATTTTTTAACAGACAGAATGACAAAATTGATTTCAAGTTCACTCAAATATCTCTTCATACCCATCTTCACAGAGTGACTTTAGCAGTCAGGTCTCAGTCGGATCCATTTCCATAGAGGTTATTTGATTATGTCACCGACCATACTCTATCTCAAAGATTTTCACACTCACTGCACTCAAGATTATTTTGTGATTGTCATCACATGTACTCTCCCTCCAGCAATATTAGACCACTTCATACGCTAAAAGACTTCTTTCAAAAGAACGATGCACCGAAGTTAATAAAACATTCCCCTTTAATTAATTGATTCCTCAAAAAATCCAAACATTCATTAGTATATGTACATCAAAATATGTCTAATTTTCAGAGTTTTAAGCCGAAAATCTTAAAAGACTCAAGTCACCATTATTTCGGGACATTTAAAGTCCTACAAATGTCTTCTCAAATCTTGAAAATTGTTTTGCTTTACTGAACAAACCGTTTTAAATAAAAATTCTGAAAATGAATGGAACACAATAGGAGACCCGAAGTCTTCTATTGCGAGGAGGGATTTATGTCTTTTTCACTATCATAATACCCTTTTCAAGACAGAAGGAGCTTTTACAACGCTTAACCCTTCTTGAAATCACACGGTTGAAAATAGCCCCACTCCCCCACATTTCTTCTCTCGAATCAGATATCGATACCAAAGTTCCTTACCCATTTAACTCTTTATCATATCTACTTTTCACACAGACACTTTACACACTCAACCTTCAGTGGGCTCGAATGGAAGACGATGGAGCACAACGCTTTTCGAATGCTCTCATCAACAATACAGTAAAATGCCAATTTCTACTCATTTCCTCTTCACTATCTCGACTTTTCACATAGATACTTACAACACTCGAACTTGGATGGAATGATATTGGAGCCAAAGGAGTACAAAATCTTGCGAATGCCCTCATCAACAACACGGTAAAATGCCAATCTCTACTAATTTCGCTGTTCACCATCTCTATTTTTCACACAGATACTCACCACACTAGACCTTGGATGGAACCAAATCGGACCCAAAGGAGCACAACGTCTTGCGAATGCTCTCATCATTAATAGGGTAAAACACCATTTCCTATTCATCTTGCTCTTTATTAACACGAGCTTTCACATAGACTCTCACCACACTCGACCTTCAGTGGAATGAAATTCTAGTTGAAGGAGCACAACATCTTGCCAATGCTCTAAACAACAACAGGGTAATAGACTGCTGTCTACTCATCTTGGTCTTCGCCACGTCGATTTTTCACATAGACACTAACCACCCTCAACCTTGCATACAATAATATCAGAGATGAAGGGACAAAACATCTAGCCCGTGCTGTGACCTGCAACATAGTAACATCCCATTGTCTATTTATCTCATCCGTCGCTATTTTGAATTTTCACATAGATACTCACCACACTAAATCTTTCAGGGAATGAAATCGGAGTCGAAGGAGTACAACATCTTGCCAATTGTCTCACTAACAACATGGTAAAACACAGCTGTTTACTCATCTCGCTCTTCGCTATCTTGACTTTTCACACAGACACTCACCAATCTCAGTCTTTTCCAGAATCAAATTGGATACACATCAATCCAACAACTTGCCAATGCTCTCACAAACAACACGGTGAGGCGATACCACGATCTACTCCTCTCATTTTTCTCTATCTAGACTTTTCACACAGACACTCACCACACTAGACCTTGCGTGGAATCTAATTGGATATCGAGGAGCAAAATATCTTGGAGATGTTCTCACAAAAAACACAGTAAAACATCATTGTCTATTCATTTTGCTTTTGAATATCTAGACTTTTCACGCAGACGCTCACCATGCTCGACCTTTCGCATAATGGAATTGGAAATGAAGGGATAAAACATCTTGCCAGCGCTCTAACTAACAACAGGGTAATAGACCATTGTCTATTGATATTGATCTTTGCTATTCAAACTGATCACATAGGCACTTGCTACACTCAACCTTCGAGAGAATGAAATTGGAAAAGAAGGAATACAAAATTTTGCCAATGTTCTTATATACAACACAGTAAAACATCACCATCTACTAATCTCGTTCTTCGCTATGTTGACTTTTCACACAGACACTGACTACACTCGACCTTTTACATAATCAAATCGGACATGAGGGGGTAAGGCATCTTGCCAATGCTCTCACTAACAACATGGTAGGATATCATTTTCTATTCATCTTGCTCTTCAACATCTCGAGTTTTCATACAGACTCTCACCATACTCAACCTAGGCGAGAATGAAATCAGAAACGAAGGAGCTCAATACCTTGCCAATGTTCTCAGCAACAACAGGGTAAAACACGGTTTTCTACTCATCTTGCTTCTCGCTATCTCGACTTTTGACACAGTCACTAACCACACTCAATCTTCAGTGGAATGGAATTGGAGTCGAAGGAGCACAATATCTTGCCAATTCTCTCACCAACAACAGGGTAAAATACCATATTATACTCATCGCACCCTTGACTATATCTAGACTTTTCATACAGACACTCACCACACTCAACCTTTGGCGGAATGAAATCGGAGACGAAGGAGCAGAACATCTTGCAAATGCTCTCACTCACAACAGGGTAAGAAACCATTGCATACCCATCTCGGCCTTGATTATCTGGACTAAAGTTTTAGCTGGTAACATTTTCCTTTGCCTTACTGCTTCCAGTACCCGTCTAAAGCAGTGAGCTTGGACTGGAGCGGGCTAGCCAGTAGACCTGCATGAATCATTTTTCATTTTTCTCATCATTTTGAAGTCAAATGAATCTGTGAGTCAGTCATATCTACCTCTGAATCACTGCATCGATAACGTGGGACGTCAGTTTCCCTATGATTGTGCTCTTGTGAAATATGATTGTTAATGAGTATTGAAGTATATGGCGAGAAGGTTGAACAGATCTCCACCAACTTGCTCTAAAGACCGTCGGAAAGATACCGATGTTCTTTTAAACGACTGACGAACTGAAATTTAGATGCCCGTATGTCTGTTGTGATCTCTTACGATCTGGCTAGCTCTCCGATATGTTGTATTTTGATCGCATCATGATTTGCCATATAGATGATTAGGTTTCCTATAATAGTTAAAGTGGCTCCATTGTGTTTCATATTTTACTGGGGAAGGGATTACATTAAAAGCGTTTTTTTCACTCTCTATTCCTATAACTTTTTTCTCTGATGACATTTATTACTAAATAGGAAATTTCATAGGACTACGAACACTACATAAGCTTCGTACACTGATCAAATGTTCCTCAAACATAAATATTATGAATCAACTGTATATGTAACCCGCTATTTCTTATGTCTCTGTGAAAGATGTAGCATAAGAGATGATTCCATTTTGTTTCGATAACATAACTTAATATTGCAGTGTGATAATTAAAAAAAAATTAGGTCTATTTTGATGAATATTCCCTCAATGGAAATATTCTGATGCATACTCCCTCAATGGAAATATT